AAAACCATTTTACTCAACGTTCTCCATGTTCCAGCTACTTCTAGGTCAGTGCTGGACTCCTCTGTGGAACAGAAAAAGCTCTGGACGTGGGTTCTAGTCCTTGCTCTGCCACAAATATTTATTTAACCCCTACGGGCAAAGCACTGCACTAGGCGCTATGGGGATGCACTGAAGAAGAAGAGCTCACTAATCTCAAGAAGTTTAGAGTCTAAAGGGAAGCAGTAAGACATGCTGTTGTTCGTCCTTCATTTTTGAAGAGGACCAGTGACATCATGGGGTAAGGTCGCGACCACCAAATTGGATTTAAGAGAGGCAGAACTGCACAAAGTCTTCAACCTCACTCTCTATTCCAGAGTCATCAAAGTCCAGTGGCAAGACAAAAGTCAAGACAACTGGGGATGGCCCAAGATGCAATGGGTAAACTTGGAGTCTTCAATGTCTGACCACACTCTAAGCGCCCCACTGCTTCAGCCACCATCATGGCCATCAGGACAAACTGTTCTCATCCACCCATTCCACAAGGGGGAAGTCTTCACATGCTTGGGAAAGATATCCCCTACTCATAGATGGGTATGAAGCCTATAGGTTACCCTCAACCTGGTTAAACCTGCCTGCCCCACAGTTTAGCAGGGTGTAGCCACTAAGCATGCTATAGCTTCTTGGAGCAACAGGTGAGAATTAGGTGACAGCTGGACACTAAAGGTGGATGAGCAACCCTGAAAAGGGCTCAGCAAGCTCTCACGCCAGAGGTACTAGTTCTCCCTGAACATCAAATGCACCCCAGTAAATATAAGATACAACTGGATTTCCCATTACTGAAGGCCTTGAGGCAGGGTTAGACAATTACCTTTCATAGACTGATTACAGGAGAAATTCTTTTCAGATAGAAGTTGAAACAGATGACCTATTTGTAGATAAAAAGGCTCAAATACAGTATACCAAAACATTTTTTAGCAGCATTTTTTTGTGGTAGAAAAAAGCTAGAAACAATGCTGATACCCAATGACTGGAGAACGATGACACAAGCTATAGTACAAGAATGTAACATAAATATCATTACATTAAGGGAAGTGAATATGAATACAGAGAAGCCAGGAAAGACAAGAACAAGTGAAAAAGGCAGAGCAATGTACAAAGACTACAGTGAAAATTGAGAGAAATGATTATCAATAACCAATGATTTAGGGACATTCAGATTTCCTTTTCTTTTATCCTCATTTTAAGACCTCAGTCTCTGAAGGTTGAACTAACCTTCTTCTCTGTCTCTCTCTCTCTTTTTTTTTTTAAGGCAATTGGGGTTAAGTGACTTGCCCAGGGTCACACAGCTAGTACGTGTCAAGTGTTTGGTCTGAGACTGGATTTGAACTCAGGTCCTCCTGACTTCACAGCCAGTGCTCTTATCCACTGCACCACCTAGCTGCCCCCAAAACTAACCTTCTTCTCTTACCAGATCCCACCGAGGTGGGGAAGCCATAGTGTTCCACTCAGGTTTGGGTGGGGATAAATTCTTTGAACAGACTGCCCAAGGCTAAGGGGTAACTTAAGAAATAAACGACATAATCAAGAGTTCAGGGACAGCCCCTCACTGTAATATTCATTCTCACTGGTTAACTGTTAACCAATCAAAGTTGGTTGCCATCCTCAGGAACACTCCTCTTCCAATGGCCTTTATTCTAAGAGAGAGAGGGCCAAATGACCATCCCTTTATTAAAATGCTGGCATTATTAATAAAATGGTTAAATTACCCAGAAAATTATATCTCTCAAACCTTTTTGAAGGCCACAAAATGGAAAAAAAAACAACACCACTAATAAAGCAATCAGAAGTGAATGTCTCAGAGTTATAGAAAGGTGTGGTGACAAAAAGAAGAGAGAAGACACCTTCCCCACCCCTTGGCAGAGGTGGAGATGATCCACGGTTGTGGAATTGCAAATAATGTCAAATTTTTTCAATGTACTGATTTGATTTTGCTCAATTTTTTTCCTTTTCTGCCTTCTTTCTAAAATAAAAATTCTTTGTTATTAAAAAAAATTACTCTAATAGGAAAGGGGAGGGGAAAAGGTGGGAAAATTTAGATGATGTAAAAATAAGACATCATTTAAAAAGTTATTTTTTTAAATGACCTCTGATGACCTTTTCAGTTCTGAAAGCATGATTCTAGAAAAAAGTTTGAGAAAAGAGATAACAAACATTTGTGACAGTTCAGAGGTATCAGAGGTTCTTTCATGCTTGAAGGGTCAAGCAAGGCTTTCTAGAAAAAATGATACCCTATATTCCTTGATTTCCTCCCTAACACAGGTTGTACCGTTTCTCATACCTATGATACGCTTGTCCTGGAAGGAGAGCTAGAATACTCATTATTCCCCAAGGGCACTTCCTGAGTCTCCCCTTACCTCACCCCTCAGTAAGTTTTCCAACTTTGAAGCCCAGTCAATCGAAATTTTCCACCCAATCTACCCTGTAGTACAACCCCTGGTCGTTCTCCCTTTCTCAAGGAGTTCAGCATCTGGCTCAGTATCTTCCTTTCCTCCCCAACTCCTACCATTATCTAAGCAACCTGAATATTTACAAAGGCACTCCCCCAAACTCCTTAACCTCCCAATTCAACTTCTTAAATCCCATATCCTATTCCTTCAATTCCACCTCAGCCATAAGGACTGTTATACACTAGACCTCATAATTAGCCACATCTCCTTAATTAGAAACCCTGACACTTGTCTATCTAACTATAATCCATCGTTCTACCTCTCCCTATGCCTCTTCCTCTCTTAAATCTCTTCTCCGTACTCAGAAAACCTGTGATCTTTCAGTACTTTCTAAGGCTACGACATCTGCTTTGACTTAACTTTCCTCCCTCTCCAACATCAACTTAGTACATAGCCAATTCAGCTCTATACAGTCCTCTGCTCTTGAATCCTTCTTGTTCCTATCACGACCCTCTTCTCTTGCTAAACTTCAGCTCAGGTTTACTCCCACTAGGGGCAGCTAGGAGGCGCAGCGGATACAGCACTGGCCCTGAAGTCAGGAGTACCTGAGTTCAAATCGGGTCTCAGACCAAATACTTGACACTTACTAGCTGTGTGACCCTGGGCAAGTCACTTAACCCCAACTGCCTTAAAAAAAAAAAAGATTTACTCCCACTACCTGAATCTGTTCTTACTCACACACCACTGAACAAAACTGGAAAAAGTCTCACAACCATATAAACTAGATACATTACAAATTCAAGCTTTCAAACAAATTCAAGCTATTAATACCTCACTTCAGCAAGGCAACCCTTTGATTACCCCACAACTGAATGTCTATCTCTCGCCCCACATAAACTGTTACAAACCTCTTCTCTCCTCAAGCTTCCCAGACTTATTCCCCAACCCCCATTCTCTGCTGAAGATCCTGGCTGTTACTTTAACGAGAAGATGTGAGCTTCCTCTTCATCTCAAAACAACCTGAAATCATCTCCTACTCTCTTCCTTCCCCCCAGACTCGGAGAGAGTTGGCCCCTCTCCTTACTAAGGTCAAGCCCTCTACATGTGCACTTGTCCGGTCCTCTCCAGATTTCATTCTCAATCATCCCCTTTACTCTCAGATTCTCAACCTCTCCCCACCCACTGGTTCCATCCTTAATGCCTTCAAACACGGCCAAATTTCCCACATTCTTTAAGAAAAAAAAAACTTTCACCAGACATTTTCATCATCTCAACCTATCATTCTGCATCTCTCCTTCTTTTCTCAGCCAAAGGCCTTAAAAAAGCTAGTCTAGACATCTCCACTGCCTCCACTTCTCATCTCTCCCACTCCTCCACCTTTTGCAATCTGGCTTCTGACCTCAATGAAATAAAACTGCTCTCCAAAGTTACCAACAATTTTTTAATTGCCAAATCCGAATGTCTTTTCTCAGTCCTTGTCCTTCTTGACCTATCTGCTGCTTTGGACAATGATGACTCTCCTCTTCTCAAAGATACTCCCACTCATCAAACTTCTATTCTTTAAACATCCCAACTACTTACAGCCTAAAGATCAAACTCCTCAGTCTGGAAATCAAGGCCCTCCATAACCTAGCCCCTTATTTTTCCAGTCTTTTTCTTACACTATTATTCTCTAAGTACTATATGTTCCCACCAAATGGAAAATTGCCCTCTCTTAACACACCCTCATGTTTCCAGGCTCTCTGTATTTGCTTATGTCACCTGCTCCTACTAGACTGAGTTCCATGCGTGTAGGAACCCAAACTTATCTAAACTTTGGAAAGCCTCAGGACCAATGCTCTACATATTGCTGGTTAAAAATAAATTTTTGCTGAATTTAATATATTTCAGCTAAATGTTTAGGAAAGCACATTACAACTAAAAATTACAGCTGCAAAAAAAAATTGGTAATTTTTTATCAGTAGATAAAAAGTTCCCTACAATCAGAAATGTTGCAGTGCAGAAGAGTTGGACTGTATCACTTCTCAAATTCCTCCCAGTTCAGATTCTAGGACTGAAACATGTGAAGTGGACCTGAGTACAGCAGTCTAGATCTAGACCAGGCTCTGCTAGCCCATAGTGCTTGGCACCTAGTAGGAAGACCTGAGTTCAAAACAGGTTTCAGACACTTATTGGCTTATGTGGCCCTGAGCAAGTCATTTAACCTCTGCATGCCTCAGTTTCCCCAACTGTAAAGTGAAAATAACAGTAGTGCCTTCCTCCCAGGGTTGTTGTGAGAATCAAATGAGATATCTGTAAAGCGCTTAGCAGTGTCTGCACACATAATAGGCGATATGCTTAATCGACGTTTGTTCCCTTAATAAATATTTTCTTTTTTTAGCTACTTGTCTGCGTGCCCTGGGTAAATCATTTCTACCAGTGCCTCGCTGTCCCAATATGCAAAATGAGGGATTAGGAACGAACGTTCCCATCATCTCTACAGTCACCTCCAATTCTGAAGACCCCACAGTTCACGAACCCCGGAAAACCGTTAGCAATCACTGCAGGGGACCGGGGGAGGGGGCAGTGCCTCACCCTGGGTTGCAGCAGCCGAGGCGGCGGCGGCGGCGGGGGCTCGGGACCCCAATGCTGGGCCACCTGTTGGGCCGCGTCCTGCAGCCGCCGGGCCGCATCGTGCACGACGCTGAAGCCGCAGCTGCCGCGCGGCCCGAGGCCCGCAGTCCCGGGGGGACGGGGCGGCGGCGGCGGCGGCGCTTTCCTCACTTGCTCCAGAACCCGCTGGAGGTCCTCGGGCGCGAGGGGAGCCGCGGGAGAGAAGGAGGCGGGCTGCGGCGGCTCGGCCTCCACCCACGGGGCCGGGATCCCGGCCAGACTCCCGGCCGGCGGGATGCAGACCGCGGTCCTGCCGGGAGCTGGCGTCGAGAGCTCCCGGAAGACGTCGCCCTCTTCGCCGCCCTCCTCGGCCTCCGCTTCTGCCATGGCGCGGCCTGGAAGGCGCGGCGGGAGCGGGAGCTCGAGCTCAAAACCCGGGAACTGCACGAGCGCGGCAGACGTGACGACATCCTCAGGCGCCGAAGCCATTGGACGGCGACTCCGTTGAGCATCATGGGGGGAGGGGTTGGGGCTACGGGCTCGTCCAAGGACAACATTCCTCTGAACACAGCCTTCTTCACCTAGGAGATAGTGGATTATTGAGATCGCGGGATTTCAGAGGGCCCTAGTTTAACTCATACCCGTACTCATTTATTCTGTCTTTCCTTGAAGACCAGCCCAAATCCCAGAACACTAGATTCGGAGTCAGAAGATATAAGTTTGAATCACTTCCATCCTGCGGATTCCTCATTCCTCCTCCTGGACCTTCATTTTACCATGGTACCTCCTCCTGATTTATACTTGATTATATTCAGATAGAGGGCTAGACCTGGAGTCTGGAAGCTCTGAGTTCAAATTCGACCCTCAGACATGCGTGCGACCCTGGGCACTACACAACCCCTTGCCTCCCTCAGTTTCCTCATCAGTAAAATGGGGACAGATGTGGGGGGAGAGAGGGGAGGCTGTAAGTCTAAAGTGAGATCATATTTGTTAAGTGTTTCACAAACATAAAAGGATGTGTAAGTGCTAGCTATTTTTATTATTCTTTACCCCTTCATTTGAAAGCATTGATCTGTCTTTTTATGAGCAGCCTGATGGGAAGCCTTAACATTGCAGTCTTAGCATTTGTTGAATGAATGAGGGATAGGACAAGGACAGGATGGAAATTCAGTCAGCATTGATCACCCAGGCAGCCCTTTAGGTCAAGGCCCAATCACCTCTCCCTCATTTCTAATTGGTCAGTTTTCCTCAAGGCTTTCCCTTTTAAAATCCACAGCACATATTATTGCCAAAATTATTTTCCTAAAATAGAGGAAGAAGAGGACAAGAGAGCAGGGGGTGATAGAGAGGAGGGCAGATTGGGAAAGGGGGTAATCAGAAGCAAATACTTCTGAGGAGGGACAGGGTCAAAAGAAAGAGTAGAATAAATGGGAGGGCAGGATAGGATTAAGGGAAATAGAGTTAGTTTTTCACAACATGTCTGCTGTGGACGTGTTTTGCATAACTGCACGTGTATAACCTATATTGAGTTGTTTGCCTTTTCAATGAGGGTGGATGGGGAGGGAGGAAGGGAGAAGATTTGAACCCTAAAGTTTTAAAGATATATGTTTAAAAAAATGTTTTCACATGCTACTGGGAAATAAGAAATACAGGAAATGGGGTACAGAAGTCTATCCTGCCCTACAGGAAATAGAAAGGGAAGGGGATAAGAGAAGAGGGGTAGAGATAGAAGAGAGGACAGACTAGGGGAAGGGGTATTCAGAATGCATACCATCTTAGGGTGGGGGAGGGGTGAGACGGGGTAAAAATTTGGAACTCAAAATCTTGTGGAAATAAATGTTGAAAACTAAAAATAAATAAATTTATGTTTAAAAAAAAGAAAAAATTATTTTCCTAAAGAGTGAGTATACTCAGTAGACTTGAGTAGTTCCCTTTTATCCGTAGGATCACTATAAACTTTAAAGTTCTTCATTATCCTACCCCTTCTCATCTTTCCATTGTTCTTATGTTACTTTTCCCACCTGCTTTATGGTTCAGCCAGACCAATGTATTTGCAATTTGGTTTTCCTCTTTTTTAAAAAAAAATCAGATTAACTAATGATTTATATTGGATATTTATTGGATTTTTTAAAAAACAACTTTTATCTTAATCTGTCGAATGAAATCAAATGAAGTAATGTATAGTGCTTTGCAAACCTTAAAGACCTAAATAACTACTAGCTATTGTTATTATTTAACAATTCAGTGGGGTTTTGATTTTTTGTATTTATCTTTTCTTCAATCTGTCACTTCTTTACCTTTAAAGTTGCATTCTCAATTCATTGATTTATTCTCGCTTTTTTTTTTGGTTACATTTTGAGTTCCAAATTTTCTCCTGCCCTTCCTCACAACTCAACATTAGAGAAGGCCAACATTGGGGGGGGGGGTAACTATGTAATACATGCTTCCATATATCACTTCTTTCTCTGGAGGGGGACAGCATTTTCGTTCATAAAGTCCTTCGTAGCTGATTTGAGTCATCATGTTACTCAGAATAGTTTAGTCATTTACTCTTCACACAATATTAATATTACTATATATAATGTTTTCATACTTATGTTCATTTCACTTTGCAATATTTCATAAAAGTCTTTTCATGTTTTCTAAAACCAACCTTCCTGTCATTTCTTACAGCAGAGTAATATTCCATCACAATCATATACCATAACTTATTCAGCCATTCCCCCAATTGATGGACATCTCATTTTCAAGTTCTTTGCTGCCACAGAGAGAGCTGCTATAAATATCTTAAAACATATAGGTTGGATAAAATTTATGTAGCCAAGAATAGAAGGAATGCAGAAAATTGGGCAGAAAAAACTTTCATAGACAATCTCTCAGACAGGATGTGATTGAATTGAAATATTGCCATGGTATAGGAAATGATAAGCTTGTTGACCTAAAAAAACATGGAAAGACTTGGACTTGTGAAGGAAAGTGCTATCCACCTTCAAAAAAATGTGATAGGAGGAAATAAGCGTAGTACAGTCTTACATGTATGTGTATGAATGTATATGTGTATGCATGTATATATTTATAGATAGTTCTTTATATGTATATATATCTATGTATAGATATAGATATAGAAGGCTTAATTGTAGCCTTCTTTAGGGTGGGGGGGGGGAAATAAAGTAAAAAGTGAACAGCAGAGAACAAAAGAAAACCAACAAGGAAGCAAAGCTGGGCATCTCTGAAAACAATGTGCAGAATTTTTTATATTGGTTTTCTTGAAATGGGAATGTATTGTTTTATATTGAATCCTCTCTTACGGTTTGCTGTGTACATGAAATGTTGGGGGTTTTTTCTTTTCTCATTTTGTATTTAAGTTTAAAATAAAAAATTGTATTAAAATAGGAAAAATAAAAAATAAATAAAATAAGTGTTAAAATTGTCTTTACATATTAGAAAAAAAAGAAAAGAACATATAAGTTCTTAAAGGACATGCACAGTTTTATAATTCTTTGGGCATAACTCCAAATTGCTCTCCAAAATGGTTGGATCAGTTCACAATTCCACCAACAGTCCCAGTTTTTCCACATCCCCTCCATTATTTGTCACTTTTTCCTTCTATCATTTTAGCCAATCTGATAGGTGTGAGATGATATTTCAAAGCTATTTTAATTTGCATTTCTCTAATCAATAATGATTTAGAGCACTTTTTTCATATGACTATATGTAGCTTTGATTTCTTCATCCAAAAACTGCTTGTTCATATCCTTTGACCATTTGTCAATGGGGGGATGACTCATATTCTTATAAATTTGGCAAAGTTCTCTATATGTTTGAGATATGGGACCTTTATCCAAGAAACTGGCTATAAATTTTTTTCCCCAATTTTCTACTTTGGCTACATTGTTTTTATATGTACAAAACCTTTTTAATTTGATGTAATAAAAATTATGAATTTTACATCTCACAATGCTCTGTGTTTTGTTTATTCACAAATTATTTTCCTATCCATAAATCTGATAGGTAATATGTTCCATGCTCTTCTAATTTACTTATGATATCTTCCATTATGTCTAAGTCATGTATCTATTTTGACCTTGTCTTGGTAAATAGTATAAGATATTGTTCCACATATAGTTTCTGCCATACTACTTTTCAGTTTTCGTAGCAATTTTTACCAAATAGTGAGTTCACATCCCAGAAGCTTAGATCTTTACATTTAACAAACACAAGGTTGCTACAAGCTACTCTGTATTATATACCTACTCTATTCCACTGATCCACTATTTTATTTCTTAGCCAGCACCAGATAGTTTCAATAATTATCACTTTATAATACAGTTTAAGATCTGGTACTGCTAATTCCTTTGATATTCTTGGCCTTTTGTTCTTCTAAATGAATTCTACTATTATTTTTTCCAGCTCAGTAAAATAATTTTTGGTAGTTTAATTGGGATGGTACTGAATATGTAAATTAGGTAGCATTGTCATTTTTATTATATTGCCTCAGCCCACCCATGAATAATTAATATTTCTTCAATTATTTAAATCTAACTTTGTTGTGGTTTCATGGTGTATGGTATGTCTCAAAGAATTCAGAGTCAGACAACCTCTAATCCAAGTGTAGGCATTTATTGAGATTTGACACCTCTCAAAAACAGACTAGGTTCCAAGAGGAACCAGCAACTTAGTAAGACAAGACAGATGATTTTATAGTGTAATGGTGCTGATTACAAACGGGAATTATGAATATTAAAAAGACAGGAGGGGTTTGTTAAGGGATTAGGTAATAGGGAAGGGGTCGCTTCTATGGTTCAGTGGTCAAACATCCTGGTAGTACTGCTTTCTGATTGGCTAGGTATTGTGGTCCTGTCTTGAGCTAAATGGATGATGTGATTGTGGTTGAGTACAAGAATACACCTGCTCAAATACCGTGAATTGAATCGGGGGACAACAGCTAGCTACAAGCAATGGCTATATTGAATCTGGGGGCCTGAAATGTGGTTAAAGCCAGATTGTGTGATTAAATCAAGACATGCCTGCTATTCAGTGGGGCCCATAAGGAAGTTAGAATATTGAGGCTGGGGGCAGCTTTATTAGGATTCCATCAACTTTATTTCTATAAAATGTGTTTTGTAATTATGTTCATATAGTTCCTAGGTTTGTCTTGGCAGGTATAGTCCCAGGTATTTTATGTTGTCTATGGTTATTTTAAATGAATCTCTTATTATTTCTTCTTGCAAGGCTTTGTTGGTGATATATGGAAATGCTGATGGTTTGGGTTTAGTTTATATTCTTCTACTTTGCCAGAATTATTAATTGTTTCAACTAGCTTTTTAGTTGAATCTCTAGGATTTTCCAAGTATGCCATCATATCATCTGCAAAAGGAGATAGTTTTATTTCCTTATTGCCCATTCTGATTTCTCCATTTCTTTTTCTTCTCTTATTGTTATTGCTAACATTTCTAGCACAATATTGAATAGTATTTTTGCTCTTTTTTTGGTGATGAAGGTGTTTAAAAGGGTAAATTTTCACCTGAGGAATGCTTGCTATTTTGTCTTATTGTTGTTTTCTTTAGTGTAATTATCTATTGTTACTTCTTTGATTCACTAATTCTCTGGGATTAAGTTACTTAGTTTCCATTTAAATTTTAATCCTTTATTAAAATATCCTTTATTGATTATAAATTTTATTGTATTGTGGTTAGTAAAGGATTTTTGCTTTTCTACCTTTGTGTTTAATATGTTTATACAGTCACGTCATCAGTCTTTGTAAAGGTTCTATGCACAGCTGAGTATATGTATATTCCTTTTCATTCCATTCATTATTCACCAGAGATCAACTATATCTAACTTGTCTCAAATTTTATTCAGGTCTCTAAACCTCTTTATGAAACAACTCTTTTTAAAGATAAGGAAACTGGGACCCAAGGAGGTCAAATGATTTGCCCATTGTGTTATTCTATTGTTCTAAGCCATATAACATTACCTAAAGAAAAATACTGTTTAGTAAACAGAACCAAGAAAACAGTCCTGATTACAGGAAAAACATGTAAAGAAAAATACTACTAAAAGACTTCAGAATTCTGATCAACACAGTGACCAATTGTGATATAGTGCAGAAAAGCAACAATGGCACACAGAGGGAGATAGCTTTTAAAAAAATGTTTTGCTATTCACAAGTAGAGGAGAACATTTGTGGCCTCAGTACCCAAAGTGGGGGGGATGAAGAAGAGAATGTCATTATCCCGAGGCAGACAGCATCATGTGGTGAATGTGTGGGTT